TCTTTCTCGTTTCTTCTTTCCTCGGTTGACGTCATACTATTTTCCGCCTTTCCGGTTATAGCGCCCTGAGAACAATCGTTTAAGGGCGCTTTATACATTTTAATAATTCTTATCATTGGACCCATGTTGAGTAAGAGGGCGCTCGACGATTAGAATTCCCAGCAGTGAGCAGTGGTGACTATACTGAGCTGATGAGCTCTAATGAGGACGAAACCGGCCCATCACAGTTGTCTGTCTCCGCATCAACGCTGCCGTCAGTCGGCCACATCTGCAATCATTTAATTTGACGGTAACGGTGATCTAGGTCGGACAGGAGGACCACAATGCAACTGTTCAGGAAATGCCGATGGTTTTTTTGCCACAACGGCTGACATCGCCGCGTCTTATTTGAAACGCGGGGAGGGGGGGTTCACTGCGCCAAATTAACGGCACGTCTAGAGAACGATTACTCAGAGCTCAAGAGGTCAGAGGGTCTCCCTGCTCTGAACGAGCGGCGTAAGGGCACCGTCCACCTCCATTGGTTGTCCTCCACAAGTGGCGGAAATTTCACATTCCTACGGTGGGGTGGGCCAATGTCTCTCCGCCAGGCCGAGAATGGGCGTATGACCACATCGTGACTGGAATTTTAATTCGCCGATCTTCTGCTGGGGTAAGGTAAGAGAGCTCCGAGCACATTGCCACATGGCCAGATACAAAATTGCGGTTATTGCGACAACAATATGATGATAGGGCTGGTATCTTTTCCCGGGCGATGAATTGGTCAGCTATCAAAGTCACTTTTTTCTTAAAGCCCTGTTTTAAATCATGGGTGGCGGTCCAAATTCGAACCCAGGCCCATCAGCATTGCTGGCTCTGTTGCAGCTAATCACGAGCCCTCTCGAGAAACCCGGCTACCTCGGGTCGTGTAATTATTGAAATGTGGAGGGAATTAACGACCGCGCAGCATCCAGTGAGGCTGACTTCTCAGCGTTGCTGTGGAAACGGAAATTCGATTCTGAACAGTTTTTAATGCGTTTTTCTTCTTTTCAACAAAAAAAGTCAGCGATTTCCTGGCTCAAATGAGCAATCACGTGGTGCTCATCTCCCGCTTACAGCATTCAGCCAGTAGTAGAAGTCCACCATTCCTATGGCGGAGGTGAGTCCATCCACAGGACGATCACTGCTCTGCGTTCCTGTAACGTGGCGCGAGCAGGCTGAGTCAACCCCCAAGCAGGATTCGAACTCGCAACCTTCCAGCTGCAAGCCGCTGGCTCTACCGCTGAGCCGCTTGGTGGGATGTTCTCTGTGGCTACACGAACATCGTGATGGCGCCATCGGAGTCTGTCGCGAGACGGTTCGAGACATTTAAACTCGGAGCTCTTGCAGCGAGCAGCACTTGAGAAGAACGACAGGGAACTGCATTGTGGGGGGGGGACACCAACAAGGATCAGACGAGCCCCATGGTGAAACACTCAGCGATGAACGCTCAGCGCCCTGACACGGGATTGACCCTCCCCCCAGATTGACCCCCCGAGATTGACCCCCCCCAAATTGACCCCCCCAGATTGACCCTCCCCAGAATGACCGCTCAGATTGACCCTCCCCAGATTGACCCCTCAGATTGACCCCCCAGATTGACCCCTCAGATTGACCTCCCCCAGATTGACCTCCCAGATTTACCTCCCAGATTGACCCCCTCAGATTGATACCCCCCCAGATTAACTCCCCCAGAGTCACCCTCCAGATTGACCTCCCAGATTGACCCCCCAAGATTGACCCCCTCAGATTCACCCCCCAAGATTGACCCCCCCCCAGATTGACCTTCCCCCCCGAGATTGACCCCCCAGATTGACCCCCCCTCCCCAGATTGACCCTCCCCAGATTGACCCCCCCCAACCCCCCCGAGCCACCCCGGCACCTCTGACCTTCGGACACAAAGAGATCCGACTCTGACCGCTGGTGCCGCCCGCCGCCGCTGTGCGTGGCCGAGGCGGAGGCCCTGCCCGGCGGGTGACCGGGCAGGGCCTCTTCCCGGGCGGTGGCATCCACTTCCGCCAGACGCAGATTCCAGTCGCGCCTTCAGACACTTCCTTCCACGTATCTACTCTTCGCTTCCTCCGCGTATATACACGTCACCTTCGCCCGCCGGGTGTTTATTTTACTCCGCGGGGTGTTGCTTTCACGAGCCTGCGAGCTTTTATTAGTTTTTTTATTGCGTTCGTTTAAAAATATTTAGCTATTCCTGTTTTTATCGACGTACAGCAGCACTTTGCGACCTCCGGGTGAAATGCGCTTCAATATTGTAAAACGTAAAAAAATAACAATTATTATTACGAGATAACAAATATAAATTCTTGTTGCAATATCATTTTTTTCTTTTATATATTCCGATCCATGACAGACAACTTGATGTGACCCAGGTCACCCTTGTGAAAGAGGCAAATGCATTGCGTGTCTCAACGGGCCTGCAATCCAAAGTGCACCTAGCATGGCACAAGCACCGTGGCGACGTCACCGCCACTTGGCTAAACAGGGGATACTGCTGCTGCTGCCACTTACAACCCCGAATCAAACTTGAATCACATCCCAACTACTGCCACTAATCGAGCCGCCGCTGGTATCAGCTGCATGGAACTTGTCGCTATTGAAACGTCCCCGCTTGGTCCGTGCTGCACCTCTTTGATCCGCCACCGCGGGCTGCTTACGGAGGAGGAGGAGCAGGTGGAGGGGCACTGTCGAGGGGTTACGAAGCGGAGAATAAATGTCACACAGAGGTCGCAACCGGGTACCCGATACCCGTACCCTACCCGATACCCGGCTACCCGTACCCGGCCGGGTACGGGTACCCGTTTGTGACCCTGGTGCGGCCGGGTACGGGTACAGGTAGGCCGTGAGTCACTGGTGAGTAACCGTTTGTCACTCATTTCCCAACGTCTTGTCTCTTCTCACAATTCAAGTTCCTAGAATCAACCCACCCGCGCCTGCAACATGGCTTCATCCCAGAGGTCGCAATCGGGTACCCGATACCCGTACCCTACCCGATACCCGGCCGGGTACGGGTAGCCAGGTATCGGGTAGGGTACGGGTACGAGTACCCGTTTTCGACCCTGGTGTGGCCGGGTACAGGTACGGGTAAGGAATCAAAACCCGTTTGCGACCTCCGATGTCACGCAACGCTGGCACTTCGACTCGCAGCTGGAAAGTTGACAGACGTGAATCTGGGCCAGGGGTCAAGTCGGCTCCACCGTGCTCTCTGTGGCTCGAGACAAAAACGAGCACCGCAGAGGCACGGGCAAGTCAATGGTGGTCATCCCACGCACGGAGTTCACTCCTCGCGTGAACAGCCGCGGGCAATCTGCTGCTGGATGAAGGCCTCCACGAGACGCAGTTCTGCGATGTAACAATCCGCACAGCAGCTGAACGTCTTTGTTCAGTGGTCAGCAAAAGCCGCTTTGAGGATGACCGGAGTTCGCGTAAATGGTTTGTGATCCGTGAAGACATCAGCAACTTGCGCGTGACGTTCACTCTGAACAAGAAAAATAACTCTAGATTTTAAGTTTTTGTGACTGCAAGGATCCATACTCTTTGGTTTTTTCAGTAAAGTCACGTAGGTTAAAAGAAAACAAATAAATTAAATCACGACGTTTCGGAGGCAACACAAGCTTCCGTCTTCAGGTGGAACAGTTACGTGATTTAATGTATTTGTTTTCTCTTAACCTACGTGACTTTACCGAAAAAAAAATAACATTTCCTGCACAGCGGAGGTCCTTCCATGTCCTTCAAGCACAACATTGCAATGTTACGCTTCCGAACTTTAATATAACTTCGTTTGAACATTAACCTGGCCTCCTATTGACACACATTATGAACCAATCACGTGGTTTTTTTTTACAGCTGCCGTCGAGGGTGAGCGGGGCCGGTGCTTAGCTGGGCAACAGGCTGGGCCCTGTACTGCGAAATGTCCCCGATTTGGGAGTTTAAAAAAATCATTTATTCGCGATTTCCACGTGGGAGGAGAGTGGGAAAACCCGAGAGCCCACTCATACGGATAGGTGAGCAGTCTACTCGCACTACTCACACCTGTAGGCCACTGGAAGTAGGCGAACCTCGCACACGATGATCCCTCCCCAGTTACAGGTGCGTCGATGGCTCGCGAAGGGCACCGCACCGATGCGTGAATGCCGATCAAACGCGCCGCAGTACAGACCCGCGCGATGTGGCCCATCGGCCGCAAAAAAAAAGAAACAGAGCGCCGCTGTCGAAGTTAGCGCCGGTGTTTTTATTCTTCGTTCAGGTTCATTTTTGACGGGTACGCTCGACGTTCTGCCGTTGCGTGCGCGGCAATTAACCTTGCGCTGGGGAATATTTGTCGCGATGTTACATTTCACTTGCCAAATGCACTGCCAGTTTTATTTACTTTAGCGGAGTCGAATCGCCGCCAAATCAGCGCCGAGTTGCCCTCGGCCCCCAACGCTGTCAATTCTACGTTCCTATGGCGGGGGACCGGTCTCTGTAGGACAACCGCTGGAAACGTTCCGCAAAGTGGCACTCATATTTCATCAATCTCGAAAACACGACGAGTCATAACCCCTCCCGGACAAGAACGCCACGGTGGCTAGGAGATGTTAACTACCTCGCCTGGTATGCAGCAGGTCGTGGGTTCGAACCCGATCCCGACCCTGACGCCTGCTGTATATTTGGAGTTTGTATCTCTCTCTCTCTCTCCGTGGTCGTGTGGATTTTTCCGTACGTCCTCCCGTATTTTCCCCCACGTTTACAATCAACATCACACGTTCAGAGTATGTGGCTGCTATAAATGTCCACATGATGATAAGCGACTTCATTGAGATATCATTTGTAATAGCCAGGTCGCTTCTGAAACGAGCCATACAGCTCAGTCGGGGCCTTACCTGGTCAAAAAAAAACAAATACAAATTGTGAAATAGTTTAAATAGGACGAAATATGACAACACATCGAGACAAACAACTTTGAGATTGAGAGAGATAGAGAAACGCCTCACCGTCAAGGTCTGCAGCCTCTCCTTCTGTAGCTGAGCCACCACATCCATCCTGGGGAAGGAGAAAAGGAAGACGCACGCTCAGAAACGGTGCTTCGCAGAGCCCCCAGGCAGCCGCACCGATCCCTGGCTACTGCTGCTGCTGCTGCAGCGGCGGCGGCGGCGAGAAAGAGCGCAAAGCTCACGGCACCAGCCGACAACACCAGCAGCGAACAACGCCACGGGGACAAATGATCGGGAGCGCGCGCGCGCGAGCGAGCGAAGTGATTCAGGATGGTGAGATTTGTGAACTCGACTTGGCAGTCGTTCCCTCCCACTTTCCCCTCCCTCAATTTTCCACTCACCCCCTCCCTATCTCCCTCCTACCCACCCACACACTCCCCCCTCCCCCTCCCCAACACTTTGTCTCTCTGTGCCCCCCACCCCCCCATCGTCTCGTCCGCTTTCCACTTCCACTCTTTATCGCCACTCTATTTCACCACTCTATATCACCACCCCGATATCGTTTTCCCATTTTCCTCGCCGCGCACAGTGGCTATCATTTTCCAGCGGCATCGCCCGCGATGAGAGGGTGTGGGTTGTTGTTCTTTATGGGTTTTTGTTGTTGTTGCTGCTCTCGCTGGATACAGAGAGAAATTTGCATTTGTGGACCAGTTCTTACCTGGGTTCTGTTATTTCACATTCTCTAACCGTCTGCAAGGGAATATTCCAAAAATGCGCCGACTGCTGGCCTGGCGGAATTCTTGTTTTGCTAAATTTGTCTTTTAAATCTAGAGGTTTTTTTTTTACTCACACAATACAGACATTCGTGAAAATAAACCTCGCGGATGTTTGGTTTTGTAGACTTCTGTTTCTCCACGATCTGACTGCGGTGAAATCCAGCAAATGTGCCCCACGTCCCGATGCTGGAGGCAGTTAAACAATAATCATCTGAGATTATGCGAAAGCCTGTTGGGAAAAAAATGATTAAAACGCAAACAGAACCTGCAGCCAAAACTCACGAGATATGAGCCTGTTAATTATGTTTCAGATCACCAAGAATGAACCTGATCTCATCGGATCTCGGAGGCGAAGCAAAATCATTTGAGGCTAAGCAGAGTTGAGCCTGGATAGTGATTGGACGGGTGACCACCGTGCACGCCAGGTCGCCACAGGTGATGGACAGGGCTGCGGCTAGCCTGCAGGCAGCAGAAGGTAGTGCAGTTAAATCCATTGTTGTACTGCGCTTCTATGCTCCCGTGTATATGGGCTACAACGTTCGCCAACATTGCACAGACATATCTGTGCGGTGGTGAAGTATGGTCAAATAAACCGCATACCAGCCACGTGGCGTGGATTGGTCCTCGTCCAGCAGTGGATTGACAAGAGGGCTCAAGTAAATGCACGTTTTCAAGCCGTGTGATGTTACGCCACGGTGGCGAGATGTTAACTACCTCGCCTGGTATACAGGAGATCATGGGTTCGAACCGGACCCTGACGCCTGCTGTATATTTGGGAGTTTTACTGTTCTCCCCGTGGTCGCGTGGAGTTTTCTCCAGGTTCTCCGGTTTTTCTCTAAACGTTTAAAATAAAAAATTACGCGTTTAGAGTATTTGGCTGCTAGAAACGTCCACGTGATAAGCCACTTCGTTGAGCTATCATTTTGTGGCCAGGTCGCTTTTGAAAAAATCCAACACAGCTCAGTGAGGCCTTATCTGGTAAAATTAAAAAGTTCAATATGGAAATGTGGAATATATATCGTTTTATTCGAAAAAAGAATTTATTTTTTATTGCACAGGAAAACCACTTAGTCGTCTCAAGGCTCATCGCCAGGAGGGGTCCTGCTCAATCCCTGGGTTTGTCTGCACACAGTGGAAACCTTGGAGAACAGCCATGCACACAAGGAGATCACACACTCATCAAAACACAAGCATCACCACCCCCCACACTCTCCCACTGACGACACATCCACCCCTCCGACGTGCCCCACCAGGCAGACCCTCATTCAACACACACTCACCAATTGCCACCACCACCACTACCACCGCCGCACGAGCCACCAACCTCTTCAACCACAACAACAACCGCCTTTGGTCACTGAGTGACGGTGACATCATCACGACGCTTGTGCCACGCCAGGCGCAAGTGAAGTGTCGAAGGCTCCCCGCTGCCAGAAGGTCACGGGACAGACCCAGGTGCCATGCGTTGACCGATTACTGGCAGATGCACCAGCTGTACTGCCTCCACCGTGCCAACAACACGTACCACAGCCCCACAGGATCCTCGTTTGCCTCCCCCGCAGTAGTCATCAAGGCGGTCTCTCCCACTCAGAACGTTAACCCCCCTGTGTAGCTCGTGGGTGTTACTACTCCATTAAGGCGCCTTGAGACGTGAGTGGAAGGCGCCTTACATGTAAATGTAAATTATTATCATTACGCTTTACCCCACGCGTCACCCCACCCAGTCGCACCGTACGCTGTAACCCTCGCTTCCCTTGCTTTCTTTCAATAAAAAATACTTCTCATTTTAAAAAAAATACATGTTTAACATCCATACAGATAGATCGATTCTAACCTGCGGCTACCTCCAATCCTGGCGCTGTGAATGTGTGTAGGACAGGCGGCGAGCAGCAGGCCTGGCTTGTGACAGTGATGTCACCACGGCGCCCGTGCCAGGCCAGGTGCACTTTGAGGCCACGTGAAGTGTCGAAGGCTCGCTGGCAGGAGGAGGTCACGGGACAGGCCCAGCAGGTGCCGTGGGTTGACTGACAGATGACTGGCAGATGCAACAGCTGTACGCCCAACTATGCCAACTTCACTTAAAGCTTTCGTGACTGCAGGAATTCATATTCTTTGGGTCGTTCGTTAGTTGTTATTTTCGTCTCTCTGATTTGACATTAGCAGGTTAAATTTCCCACACTAACACAGCGACGTTGCTGCTCTGCGATCTGCCATTAACATGCTAATCTCTCACATTAACATAGCCACTGCCATTAACATGCTAATCTCTCACATTAACATAGCCACTGCCATTAACATGCTAATCTCTCACATTAACATAGCCACTTCAATGAACATTCTAATCTCTCACATTAACATAGCCACTCCCATGAACATGCCAATCTCTCACATTAACATAGCCACTTCAATGAACATGCTAATCTTTCACATTAACATAGCCACTTCCATGAACATGCTAATCTCTCACATTAACATATCCACTTCAATGAACATTCTAATCTCTCACATTAACATAGCCACTTCCATGAACATGCTAATCTCTCAGATTAACATAGCCACTTCAATGAACATTCTAATCTCTCACATTAACATAGCCACTTCCATGAACATGCTAATCTCTCACATTAACATAGCCACTTCAATGAACATTCTAATCTCTCACATTAACATAGCCACTTCCATGAACATGCTAATCTCTCACATTAACATAGCCACTTCCATGAACATGCTAATCTTTCACATTAACATAGCCACTTCCATGAACATGCTAATCTCTCACATTAACATAGCCACTTCAATGAACATTCTAATCTCTCACATTAACATAGCCACTTCCATGAACATGCTAATCTCTCACATTAACATAGCCACTTCAATGAACATTCTAATCTCTCACATTAACATAGCCACTTCCATGAACATGCTAATCTCTCACATTAACATAGCCACTTCCATGAACATGCTAATCTCTCACATTAACATAGCCACTTCCATGAACATGCTAATCTCTCACATTAACATAGCCACTTCAATGAACATTCTAATCTCTCACATTAACATAGCCACTTCAATGAACATGCTAATCTCTCACATTAACATAGCCACTTCCATGAACATGCTAATCTCTCACATTAACATAGCCACTTCAATGAACATTCTAATCTCTCACATTAACATAGCCACTTCCATGAACATGCTAATCTCTAACATTAACATAACAAGCCCCGCCCACTTCGTTTATGACCCTTGGGCTACACCCATTTTAAACCTTTAAAACAGTCTGCTTCAGCAGCTTTCCCCCTCTTTTTCTTCCTGATGACGATCGCTTGAGTTGCGATCGATACGTCGTAGTTTTGTTATTTTTTTGTTATTTTAATTGAACTTATCTACGTGACTTTCCCGATAGACCCAAAGAATATGCCAACTTGCTGAATTTTATCCGCCCAGCGCTCCGCTCGTTGTTGTGAGCGTCGCTCGCGTCCTCATTGGCCGGGGCCAGGTCATCTTCCACACCCTCACTCGAGAGCACCCGCACACATTCATCGCGTGGCTCGCGATTCGACCGTGGATTCCGACTCCCAAGCACCGCCCGCAACATCTCCACGAAGCTTCCACCACTCGCTCGCCTCTCTCTCCCCCCTACCTTTCCTCCTCTAATGTTTCTTCCCCTCTCCTCTGTGTGGACTCCATTCCAGCTGCCTAGGCCCTCTGTCCAACCTCCCGTAGGTCAGCCTCTACAATTCAGCCTCCCCGTGACTATTTAAAACATTTTTTTTTTTTACCAGGTAAGGCCCCACTGAGCTACGCGGCGAAAAGTGGTAGCCCGACCAGGTGGCTTATCACGTGGACATTTACAGCAGACAAATACTCTAACCGCGTCACGTTGATTCGAAATGTGCAGGGGAAACCCGGAGTCCCCGGAGAAAAATCCACGAGGCCATGGGAAGAGAGAGAGACTCAGACTTCAAATATACAGCAACAGGCGTCAGGGTCGGTATCGAATCCACGACCTCCTGTACACCAGGCGAAGTAGTTAACATCTCCTCGCCACCGTGATGATGATGAGAGAAAGAGACTCAGGCTCCAAATATACAGCAGGCGTCAGGGTCGGTATCGAATCCACGACCTCCCGTACACCAGGCGAAGTAGTTAACATCTCCTCGCCACCGTGATGTTGATGAGAGAAAGAGTCTCAGACTCCAAATATACAGCAGCAGGCGTCAGGGTCGGGATGGAACCTACGACCTCCTGTACACCAGGCGAAGTAGTTAACATCTCCTCGCCACCGTGATGATGATGAGAGAAAGAGACTCAGACTCCAAATATACAGCAG